ATAATAAACTCAAATCTAAAGTTTGCACTCAGTGCTCCGTCTGAACTTTGTCGTCCAACCGAACACTAAAATATTTATAGGATTACACACTTTCAACATGATCTCCCAGTTTATAAAAACCAATCTGTGAGTGATTTCTGGAAAACAGGATGAATTTGGTTTTATTAGCATTAATAACTAACTTTAAGCTGCACAATAAAGTCTGCAGCCACTGCAATGCAGTTTAAAGCACCTCAACAGGATGATTGAGAGTCGAGTGAGTCGGCCTACGGTACAGCGTCATCTGCAGAAAGGTGCATTTTAGCTGCAGATTTATTATTAATACAAATATCAAATAAATCAGTGACGTTGTTGGGCTCAGCCTGCCCCTGGTAGCGTCTCCCAAGGACAACTGGTCCTGGTTTAAGGCCAGAACGAGTGTGAATCACACGACCTCTGCAAAAGCACTTTGGTGGTACCAAAGACACGGCTCAGCCTGTCCTTCGCATAGTCGATCAGACAGCCAGAGGCTTACAGACATTGTTCAGAATCTAATGATCAATAAAATTGTGTACAGTCGTGTCCTCTGTTACTAGCTCGTATCTTCGTTCCTCCTCTCAGGGACTTCCTCCCTCGTGGATCCGGCATCGTCACTCGGCGTCCCCTCGTGCTGCAGCTCATCAACTGTCCCACAGGTGAGACTCTCAGTGCAGAGACACGCGGTTCGTCCGTGCGGTGTCTGATCTGATCGTGTGATTATATTGATCAGAGTATGCCGAGTTCCTGCACTGCAAAGGGAAGAAGTTCACGGACTTTGATGAAGTTCGTCAGGAGATTGAAGCTGAAACGGATCGAGTGACGGGGCAGAACAAAGGCATCAGTCCGGTCCCCATCAACCTCCGAGTCTACTCCCCCAATGGTAACACACACACAGACACACACAGACACACACACACACACAGACACACACACACACACACACACACCTGTCCTGGTCCTGACTCTGCTGTCTGTCCTCAGTCCTGAACCTGACTCTGGTGGATCTTCCTGGGATGACGAAGGTCGCGGTGGGCGACCAGCCCCTCGACATCGAGCACCAGATCAGAGACATGCTCATGCAGTTCGTTACTAAGGAAAACTGCCTCCTATTGGCTGTTTCCCCAGCCAACTCTGACCTTGCTAACTCTGACGCCCTGAAGATCGCTAAGGAGGTTGACCCACAAGGTAGGGCTCCTGACAGCTCCACCTGCACCTTTCACCTGTACTGTTCTTTCCTGAACTAAATAAAGTGTTTCGGTCGCGCAGGTCTGAGGACCATCGGGGTCATCACCAAACTGGATCTGATGGATGAAGGGACCGACGCCAGAGACATCCTGGAGAACAAACTGCTGCCGCTACGAAGAGGTACAGA